AGGTCTCGTAGAGCCTGTTGAACTCGAGCTGAACCGTCGATGGTGCCAGTGCTGGCACGGAGAAGAACGGTTCCATGAGCCAACCAATAGCAGGACACGGTGCCAGTGTCAGGATTTCTCTCGATGGCCAGAACGATCGCAGGACCCTTCCAGCGAATGGTGTGTGCTCGATCAGCAGCATCTCGCCAGTACAGACATCGTTCTCCAGGATGAAGGTCTTCATCACGGCCGGTGTACCTGTGAAGGAGAGCTCGGCGTAGCTTGACATCAATTTCAGCCTTGCCGCATGCCTGCTGGGCTGAGAACTTCAAAGTGAGGCGTCTGTGAAGCCGCTCCTGCTCGGCCATCTGAAGTTGTAGTGGTCCAGTACGTTCATCAGAAAGGAGTCCGGGCATTGAAGGTTCTCGGCCTAGTGCAAGCTGGGACGGAGTGAAGCCGTTCACGAAGGTGTTGGAGTTGACCGAGGGAACAACCCATGATAAAGCCTGTTGAACTCCGTCAAGGCCTTTAAGTTCGTGCTCCAGCATGAAGATGGAGACTGCCTTCCGAACCAGTTGATGTCTGCGCTCAACGATGCTGGTGCGAGTGTGGGCTTGGCCAGGTGAGATGCGAAGCTCAATGTCATGCTGTTCACACCATGTTGCTGTGGAATCTGAAGCCCATCCAGTTCCCTCATCGACGTAGAGCTGTTTCGGAGGTCCATGGAACTGGATCCAGGCTCGTTCAAGGGCCTTTTGAAGAGAGATGCCCTTTTCATCTGGGACTGTGCGAGCTGCCATGTAGCGAGTGGCAACGTCCACCATGATGAGCACGGCAATGCGCTTGGTGCGCTGCTTGCGTTGACCAGCCTCAAGGAGCATGCCAATCTCGTCCATCTCCAACCACAAAACATCTGCTTGAACCTGGGCGTTGAACTCGGTGGGTCTGTCCAAGTGGCCAGGTGCGTTGCCCTTCTTGACGGAGTGGATCTCGCAGTATGGACAGTGGAGGTCTTGAACTGCCGCTTGAATTGCCTCATTGCATCCTCGCTCCTTGAGCATCTTGAGAAGAACATCTTTGCGAGGATGACCAAGATTCCGATGAAGTCGGTAGGCAATGCGGACTGCTTCACTGCCATGGACTTTTCCGAGTTTGCGAAGGACACCAGTGAGAGCTTTGTCATCTTCATTGTGGACGGTGTAAACTTGCTCATTGAGGCCTTCATGAAGAAGTAGTCCACGAGCGAGTGCTGTTGCTAGCTCTGTCTGGTAGTTTTCAGCCTTCTTGCACCTGTTCCGTCCTTCGAGGCGTTGGTGAGCATGTTGTCCATCGCACCTTTTGGACATCAGATTGAACATTGCCCATTTTGTGGTCTGCAGTTTGGTGGTCTTCTTGATGGGCAGGAGTGATCCGTCATCGGCTTCGGCAACTGCTCCGTAGGCACATTGGTCGAAGATCGCTTGATGTCCGGGAAGATGTCGGAGTTGAGGCGTTTCCCAAGCCAGACTCAGGTGAGGGTGCTCGATGTGGGCGTGGTCTCCTCTTCTCACCTGCTTGTAGTACAGCTTTTTGCACATGGTCAGATGGGTTCGCCGGTCCACTTCACGGCGTTCTTGAAGATCTTCAGCTTGAGCCTCATTGTGCACATTGATCTGCTGCATCCTCGACCAGAGAGTGCAACTGGGTGACATGTAGATCTCGTCAGGCTCAAGCTCGTCGCACAAGCGTAGTAGAGCTTTTCGATGTGCGGCTCTGTTCAAGTCCCATCCATCTTCCCATCCGAAGCGCATCACCTCCACATCGCCATGAGCTTGAAGGAGTTGAATGATGCGGCCTTCTCCAGCATAGACTTCCCAGATCAGCCGCTTGCGGTGGGAAAGGCCATGTTCCCGGGCATGATGTACTTCTTGATGAAGTGTCTTCTGGTGTTCGGCCAGCTGGTGCTCAAACGTGGTGAGGGTCTTTTCCAACTGCTCAATCGTTTTGCTTGTTTCACCAGGTAGTAGGTCGGTCATGTTCTCCTGGTCGACCTCCATGTAGGTTGTCTCATCCATTTCACCCTTTCCACATGCCTGAAAGTAGGCGTGCACTTCAGTGGTCATCTCGAAGAAGCGCTCGTGGGCGTTGAGGTCGTCCAAGAAGTCATTCAGCTTGAGGCCATTGTTGTGATCATCTTCACATCGAAGGTCGAAGGTCTCGGGGAAGAAGTCCTCAGGGCGTGTCACCCCTTCAGCGAGGCGAAGCAGCATTGCTCCCTGACGGCCACGTGGGATATCCCGCCAGGTCTCCTGGTCAAGCATGCGCATCCGAGAGCGGCCAAAGTCAATCTCGGCATGGAGGGCTTCAAGCAAGGGTCGGCCAAACAACATGGGAGTGGCACCGTAGATCACATAGGCTTGGATCTTGCCGCCAACGTCAGCCAGACGTGTTGGTAGCTCGATCATCCATTTTGACTGTCCTGTAGCATCGCCACCGAAGCGGAAGGACTTGTCACACTGCTTGAAGTTCAACTTGTCCATGGGGTAGCCGAGGATTTCCAGCCACTTGAGGTAGCGCAGGATGTATTCACTGCCAGCCAGGAATGATGATGCTCCTTGGTCCTGGATGCAAGCGTCAGGATCCGGCGTGAGCCAGCCGCCGGCACGAACCAAAGCTTCCCCTTGGGCATAGGCCTCTTCAGGGTCATAGAAGATCTCATTCTCATAGTCGTAGCCCTCCTCAGCATCATAGAACTCTTCAATGCTGAGGACCATGTGGACCATTGTGTCATCATCTGCAGGTCGCTTCTTTGGTGAGCTTGACTGTGCACCTGCCGTCGAACAGTTTGCTGCGAAGTGTCCAGGTTTTCCGCAACGAAGGCATACCATAGCTGAGCGAGCTCTCTGCTTGCCGCTGGGCCCTTTTCCAGACTTTGAGCCTTTTCCTTTGGAAGAGCTCTTTGACTTGCCAGGGCTCTTGGATTTGCCTTTGCCGGAACCTTGGGCCATCAAAGGTGCTTGACCCTTTCCACCATCAACCACAGCCACGACGGGGTAGAAGCCACGGCTTTGTCTGAGCTGGTTGAGGCGGTTCTTGGCATCAACGTAGGTGCTGTAGATGTCATCGAACTCCTGGGTGTCAAACATGGAGTCCAGCTCTTCTTGAGCTTCATCGTGGTAGAAGGTGTCATCGGGCTCTGGGTCTTCCCATTCTCCCATGGTCTCCTGGAAGTCGTCGGGGTCGATGGCATCCTGGAAGTAGGTCTCTTCATTCTCATAGTTCTCATCCAGCTCATAGTCCTCCTCCCAGAAGACTTGGCTCTGCCTCTTCCATCGGCCGGGGAGCTGTGGCTTCCTCAGGTGTGCAGGAAGGTGAACATGGCGATGATCTTGGCCGAGGATCAGGTAGAGAGCCTGCTCGACAGCTGGAAGCGTAAGGGTCGAGCCGATGTTGGTCTGGATGAGCTGCTCTTGTTCCTTGGTCAGTCCGGCTCTCTTCAACATCATCCAGCCGGTGATCTCCTCAGGAAGATCAACTTTGTGCTTTGAGACCTGTCTGAGGGTCTGGTGGAACTCGGTGGTGTACTCCAGGATCGACTGGTCCTTCTTGCGCCGCAGCTTGAAGAAGAACTGCTCGAAGTGGGTCGGCATTTCGACCTTGGCGTCATACGCCCATTGGCGGTCCAGGCGCTTGAGAAGGATGTCGAGGCCAGATTCTTTCTCCAGCTCCTGGAGATCCAAATCTTCACACTGGGTCCAGGATGGACCTTCAAGGACTGAGAGGACGTTGAGGGCGATTTCGCTCTTCCGCCCTTGAAGCTCAAGCTTCCGGGCGTACAAGGTCACTCGCCTCCGCCATTCAGCATATGTCGTGGTCGTGTTATCGAAGCGGGGCACGAAGCTGTCCTTCAGATCCTTGCCAGCATTTCGCGGAGGAGCTGCCGCCATTCGCGTCGCGTGAGGTTCCGCGGCGGGACGGCGACGATGCCATTGCGATGCTGGAGCCCCCTCCTGTGAGGAGGCTCCGCTACCAATATGAAAACACGGATGTGGAAACTCGTGTTGTATCGCGACCGCACGAAGTGTCGAGATGGAAAGTGAAAACACAGTGAGGCGTGTCTTTTGCCTATGGCGTAGCATGAACGAGGTCTCAAGGGGCCCCTGCATGGGTGCAGGGTAGCCAAACAGCAACCGGAACGGTCAAAAGCTGTTCCAACCTGATTGGATGGAGTGAAATCCACAAGAGGGTTTTTCTAAATCCGGACTTGACATTATTGGCGATGGCTTCCAACCTAATAGCGATGGCCTCCAACCTACTGTAACATCTAGCTGGCTCAGATTGATCATTCCTGGTATAGTCAGTCAAGGAAAGGAACGTCACAAAATACTGCACGTGGCTGCAGGGCTAGGCAACAGAATGGCTGTTCGCCAGACCAGAAGAGTTCTATTCTAGCGAAGCGAATGATCTGGGTGAACGAAGATCGAAGTTGTACTCGTCGCATCTGATATCAAGTGTTGTCGCCACGTGGGGCGCTCTCGCCCAGGATTTCAGCTCCAAAAACATCCCGGTGTTGCTCAGTGCCCTTGATGAACCTTTATGCACTCCACTTCAAGGGGGGGTGAATCATTTTTGTACAAGGATTACTATTGATCTAAACTTGGGCAACGAACACGCCCACCTCAGTGTCGCACGTCGCATTCGCCGGGCGCCCGCAGTGCAGGCGTGGTTCTCCTCCTATCCCTTCGTGTCCATCGAGGCGTGAGCAATGGACCGTAAATTTGTATCCATAGGGGGGCCTGTGTTTGGAAGAACGATTCGATGTAATTATATATAAATATGGGCAAACAAATCCTATGGACCAAAATATCGTATGGGCGGAAATATAAAGTTCATTTGGTACTTTGGGAGATATTAGCTTGGACCATCCACAGGATCGCAGGCGGCGTTGTGAAGAAAGAGTTTGCCTGCAGAAGCTTGCAACGTGGTGTAGGAGGATTTTTTTACAATACTGAATGTTTGATTCAGAAGACTCGATACCTCGCAGAAAATGGTTTGAGAACCCAATTTGATTTGATATCCTATGGGACCTAGACCCTCCTCCTGATGGAGTGTTAATCCTCGTCCAATTGGATACATCGAAATGCATCCCAATTGCTGGATCTGTGTCAATCTCGCGTGTTGGCATGGGCGAAACTCCATCCTTTGCCTACTCCTGTGGTCTTGGGCAGCTGAGGACCCCTTCGACCAAGATGACTGGGACGCCTACTCCAAGTGTCTGGACTGGATGAGAGGCACCGGGCACCAATCATGATTCAGCCGGGCCGGCGCGATACGCCACACTGCCACGCACGCCCCGGGATTGTTCATGATCCAGTCACTTGGGACTAAACACCACTCCTTTGGAACAGCTGGTATACGGTCCCTGAAGCCTATCCTCCAACCCTTTCCAGGTCGGGAAGAAGAGGTGCTGCTTCTCTCCCCCAATTGGATTTGCTAGTACTTAGTAGTAGGATCTAGTAGGAATCTCATGGAATCTCCACTTTTCCTGGGTTGGTGTCTAACTTGGATTTGCTTGTGTGGGAACCGGATAAAAAAAACAACAACGATTCCCAGGTGCCAAACGGGTCCAGCCCGGGAAAACACCGGAATCCACCCACGACAAACGCAGTCGGAGTCCAATCCCAGACCTCCCGTCTTTCGTATGGAATAGTTACCTACATTAGGGCCATAGTACATGTACATACATGTAACCCAGGGCATCCAGTCCAGTTACCACTATAGCTGGCAACCAGTGGTTCCAAAGGCTAAAGCCATAGACCGGTTCCGAATCCCTGGTTCCTTACTACTAGTGGGAACTGCCCGGGATGCACTGGGTAACGATTCCAGTCCCATGGAAGGTGTGGGATTGGTCGTCCCAGTGGGCCCCTGGTGCCGAGGTTCAACGCGGCGGTGGGCGATCAAGTGCAGATCGTGGGAGATGACCTGCTGGTGTGGGGCTCAGCGTTGTTTTTGCTGGGACGTCACCAGGAACACAAAGGAAACCAACGTTTTGATCATTTGGAGTGAGCTGTGAGTCAGCTGTTTTGGGGTTTTGGTTATAGTTTCTGGTTTATTCCACAAAGCTTTGGGAATTATGTTTGGAAAAGACACTTATAATAAATCCAACAACGCTAAGTTGTTATACGAAACGACTGTGATGCCGGCGCACTCTTTTCCAGATGTCTGGTTTTCTTGTGTGTTTTCTTGGCGATCTCCACTCAGGTCACAAACCCCACGAGGGTGCGAAAAGCCTTGGACTGCAAAGCTTGCAACGCTTTGCTCCTCAAGGTCAGTCGACACCGTCGGTCGGGTCCAACAGACTAGGTGGGTGTCGAATGGTTCGGTGGTTGCGGCGGTGCGATCCTGTGTGGGTCGTGGTCTAGACCACTCATTAAGGGAGAATGACCATCCCCCAGATGGTCGGAGTTTCGACATGCTTTTCGGGGGTGAACACCGCAAGGTGCACCTTTGACTTGGTTGCTATTGTGGACTGAATCCAATAATATCTTATTCCCGCCGCAGATCAAAAACCCATGCATTGGAGAATCAACAGAATATATATACCATGGAATACCAACGGTTTGACAGGTGATGCAGCGCTTTCGAGCCGCCTTTTTGCTTGGGGGGAGGGCTGGCAGGTCTTTTTGATCAACCTTGTTCTGTTTGTCAGGTGGGTTTGTTTGGGCATGTTTTCTCCACGCTGGTTCCGTTTGCCGCTTTTGAGACAAGGTGCCGGTGTGCCTAAACAAGAAAGGAACGCTGCAAGGTGAGTTTGTTTGCATTATTCCACCCATCTACCTTGAGAACTGTAGTGCCCTGTGACTTGACCACATCTAATCCAGGGGATGAAGATTGTTGGTTTGGTTGAAAGATGTTGAACAGGTACAATGTCCTTCAAGTGGATCGAAATGGTCGTCCTTCATGTCAGTTCCAAACGCCAACCTCCCCACGCCGCTTCCCGGTACGCCAACTCGCCGGTTCCCAATTCACATCTTTGGGCTCCAAAGCTGCCGGGCCTTCGGCATGTGCGCACTATATAGGCCTCCACGTGGCCAAAACACAGCTAGCGCTCGACATGAGACTTCGAACAGACAGACAGACTCGAAAACAAGACGGGCCAAACGTGGAAATTCGTGGCCTTGATGGTCGATCATGTTCATCCATGAACCCTGCTAGGCCCAAACAGGTGGGGAAATCGCCTCACTCCATGAGATCGAGGAAACCCGGGTCTCGAAGACCAAGATCGGGGGCAAAGCTCCAAGCAGAGCGTCTGATCATTCTGATCCTTTCAGACGACCCATGTTTTTTCGGGCCGACACACGGCAGTCACGTTGGTGCCTAAAAAGGTTCAGCATGTTCAGAGCCGTGTTTCAAGATTAGGGAGAACTCAGACGAAGTTAGGAACGAGCTCGCACCAGATGTCGTGTCGTGTTTGTTGCTGGAGTTTGCACGTCTCCCAAAGTTCAGGGGCGTTTTCTGGCGACGTGGAGCACGATGTGGAACACCCCTCGAGGTACAGTCTGTGCAGCCACCTGCAGCAGCCACCCCAACCATCTCAGCCCACCCCCCACTCCTCACTCCTCCACCAGTATCGCCACTAACGCTGTTGGAACCCACGCGTCCTGCGCGAATGGCCTTGAGCTTTTCGGCCAGCCACCGCGCAAGTAGCTGGAGTGCTTCCGTGCGAGGCCGGAGGATCTGTCGTATCTGTGAGGTCGACCGTGTCAAAGTCAGGTTGAATTGGGGTGGCACATGGTGTGCCAAACAAGAAAAGAACGCTTCAAAGTCCCAATTCAACCTGACTGCCGGCACATTGGGGTGTGGCACAGGGGGTGGGTGTGCTTCAAAGTCAGAACTGTGGCTTATTATACTAACGTCAAGGACCGACTGGCCAAGGATTTCTCTTTGCTTGGTCTGAGCGCTTTTTGAGACTCCGAGACTCCCTGTTGACACGACAGGGCCAAAGAACCACTCACTGTTCACCGTTCTGGACGCAGTTCTGTTTTGGTGGGTCTCCTTCGTAAGGCTAAGCCAATCCACGGGGCCGATTTGGAGTGAGGATAGGGTGTTTCTTCCAAACGACGCTCGCAACAACGGTACCACCCCATGGTCACGTCTCGTGCACGGCCCCACGGGTTGACCTTGAGACCGCCCCTGCGGTGGAAGAGACCCTGTCAGAGACCCGATGAGAAGGGGATGGAAGTGGTATAGACCTCAGACAGTCCATTGTAATAGGCAAAATTATACCTTACATTCACCCTCATTCATCCATATTGACAACCACCCCTAATACAATCCAATATACATTAATATTTATATTAGTGGTTTCAGAGTAGATGGCACAAACCCGAAGATGTCTTTAGGATGGGGATCCATACAAACCACCGAACTGGGGGATTGTGCTATCTATTCTGAAACCGCTGTATGTAAAGCTTCAAGTCCCATTGGTCGTGTTTGCTTCTTTTGGGGGCGAACGGCTGTTCAACCGAGGTGCCCCCAAGGCCAAGCTCACCGGACGTGGCGCACACCGTGGCAGCGCGGGCGGGCCCGCACAGCCGAAGGTGCCCAAGCCTATATGGGTATTTAAAATACAATCTAATTGAATCCCTATATCCAATAGGAATGACAAAGGCGCAGTGTTCCGGTATGTTCCAGTTCTTGTGGAATCATTGAGAATGTTGATGAAGTTTGTATTAGATATGCGATATGCGTGTTTTTTTGGATCAAGGCCAAAATCAATGATTGGATCGACATGGCACCCAGCCAAGAGTTGAGAGCTTGTGTTGGAGGTTGGCCAAACAGCCAGGCAATAATGGAACATTGCGTTTCTAGGGGAGTTGCAATGACAGAATAAAACCATGTTTTTAGTTTGGTGAATGCATAGTGTCATCCAAAATGCATGGGGTAACCATTTGCAGTGGCCGATTGCCAAAGATCTCCAGGCTTGCTGTTTTCTATCAAAACGACGATTCAATGAGTGATTGCAGAAGCTGAACAGTTGCAGAATTGTTGCAGATGTGTTGCTGCTTTGAAAGACAGTGAGAAAGTCTTTGGACAACCGAACTGATTGCAGTTTCGCATGCTTTCCCCAAAGTCCCATGGGAGTCCACACCAACTCATCCTCCTTCTCTCGAGGTTCGAGGTTCCACGGAGCTGAGGTCGATGCAGCCTGCCAGACGGAGATCCTGCCCAATTGGCCGAAGGGAGGGTGGGCGGGTCGAGTGGTTTGAGTGGAGGTGAGTCACGTCATCTTCCATGGATTTTCGGACCCTAGGCCCTCGGAAGACTGAACATGGTGAAAGGTAGATTTTTTTCCCGAATGCGTAGCGAAGGGTTCCCGTTTATAGTTGGGGGTCTGGGGGTTGGAGCTGTGTTTGCATGGCTTGCGTCGTGTCGTCGTCTCTCGTCGTCTGTCGTCGCTTGTCGTCGTCGTGTCGTCGTCGTCGCGTCTCAAATTTGCTGCCATTGGGGGAAGCTTTTGCAAGTGACTTTTCATGGATGTGTCACGTGTCAGTTTGCACCGCAATTCCATTGTGATTTGCATGACACCGACATGTCGCGCAAGAAACGTGATGCATTTCGCTGCACAGGCGCATCGTTTTGTGAGATCCGCAGATTGCTGCGCAGTTCCATTGGGATTAGCGTTTGGAGAGTCGTGTTTTGGGGGTGTTGGATGTGGCCGTGCCATTGGGATTTGCGTTTCAGGGTGTGGCATCGAAGCTCTGTTTTCGTGACAAGTCTCAGCTGAAATGGCGATTTTGGTGGATGGGAATTTGCTCTGAACGGGTCGAAATCATTCCAAACGTGTGGTGTGGTGCAAAGTTTGTTGAAGCTCACATGCGATGATATTGTCACTTTTCGTGGCAGGCGCAGGACTTCGTGCGGGTTTTGAAGCGTGGAAGTGCGATTCTCGTGGCAGGCGCAGGGAATCGTGAGGTTGCGAGGTGTGAGGGAGGTGACATTTCGTGGCAGGCGCAGTACTTTGTGCGCGTTAGACGTGTGGATGGGGAAAGATTCGTGGCAGGCGCAGGGAATCGTGAGGTTGTGAGTTGTGGTAGAGGTGAATGTCGCTGTCACATTGGGATTGGCGTGTGAGCGGATCTTGTTTGGAGGGGCTGGAATCGCGAAACTGCTTGGCAGGGCTGCGTGATGTGTGTGCTCCGATGGGTGTTTCCGCTTGACTTTTGGAGGAAGTCTCGTACGAAACGCTCGTTTTGCAGACTTTGACTTGTGAGTTTTTGAGGAAGTCTCGCACGAAACGCTCGTTTTGGAGACTTGACGCGCAACCCTCTGCGGAGATCGTGCGTGTCGAGTGTGCGAAATGCAGGCGAGAGTGCGATTTGTCCCATGCGCGCGCAACCCTCTGCGGAGATCGTGCGTGTCGAGTGCGCGAAATGCAGGCGAGAGTGCGATTTGTCAATGCGCGCGCAACCCTCTGCGGAGATCATGCGTGTCGAGTGCGCGAAATGCAGACGAGAGTGCGATTTGTCCGGTGCCCGCGCAACCCTCTGCGGAGATCGTGCATGTCGAGCACGCGAAATGCTGGCGAGCACTGGCGACTTTGTAGTACAACTTTAGTACGCGGGGTATCTGGGGAGCTGGAAGATGAGAACTGGTGACTTGGTAGTACAACTTTAGTACGCGGAGCAATCTGTGGAGCTGGAAGCTGACAACTGGCGACTTTGTAGTACAACTTTAGTACGCGGAGCAATCTGTGGAGCTGGAAGCTGAGAACTGGCGACTTTGTAGTACAACTTGAGTACGCGGAGCAATCTGTGGAGCTGGAAGCTCAGAACTAGCAACCTTGTAGTACAACTTTAGTACGCGGAGTATCTGGGGAGCTGGAAGAGAGCCCCACAAGAGTGTCCCGCAACAGTGTCCCACTAGAGTGTCTCACAAGAGAGTCCCTTAAGAGTGTCCTACAGGAGTATCCCACAAGAGTGTCCTACAAGACTGTCCCACAAGAGTATCCTACAAGAGTGTCCCACAAGAGAGTCCCACAAGAGTGTCCACAGAGTGTCCCACAAGAGTGTCCCACAAGAGGTTCCTACAAGAGGACCCACAAGAGTGTCCTACAAGAGTGTCCTACAAGAGTGTCCCACAAGAGTGTCCCACAAGAGTGTCCTATAAGAGTGTCCCACAAGAGTGTCCCACAAGAGTGTCCCACACAAAGAGTTTCCTACAAGAGTGTCACGCAAGAATGTCCCACAAGAGTGTCCCACAAGAGTGTCCCACAAGAGTGTCCTACAAGAGTGTCCCACAAGAGTGTCCCACAAGAGTGTCCCACAAGAGTGTCCCGCAACAGTGTCGCTCAAGAGTGTCTCCCAAGAGTGTCCCTTAAGAGTGTCCGACAAGAGTGTCCTACAAGAGTGTCCTACAAGAGTGTCCCACAAGAGTGTCCTACACGAGTGTCGTGTAAGAGTGTCCCACAAGAGTGTCCTGCAAGTGACCCACAAGAGTGTTCTACAAGAGTGTCTCACAAGAGTGTCCCACAAGAGTGTCCTACAAGAGTGTCCCACAAGAGT